GTGTTAGGGTTGCTCGATTATGGCAAAAATCATAATCTCGATTATTTGGGTCAATAATTGATATCACGATTATTAAAACGATTATCCATTTACTTTGAAAACATCCATTTATTGAAAAAAATATTTCAACAGTATGTTTTTAACAGTTGATCACCCTGAACTCTAAGTATAATTCAACTGAAAAACCAATAAAATAAATAATTGAATTTTTTTTTAAATAAAATAAATAATCATTTTATTTCGATTATGTTGTTTTCATAATCGTTGCAAGCCAAAATCGTAATTGCGATTAAAATACCATTAATTGAGCAGCCCTAGTATGTGTGCGTGCGTGTGTGTGCGTGCGTGCGTGCGTGTGTGCGTGTGTGTGTGTGTGTGTGTGTGTGTGTGTGTAAGCCTAACTGGCAGTCAATTAAACTTCAAGCAGTGACCCATATCAATCTGCCATTAGCTTTATGTCCTATGGAATATTTTGTTCCAGACATGTCGCTAAAACATTTTATCCCATTTTGTTCTGCCAGTGTTCCCATCTCTGTTTCACGCAATCGTTCTCCAGGCCTCAGCTGTTGTGCAGCCGTTCTGACCTCCGAGATTTGGGGGTCGGCCTGTCAGTGTCTCCCTCAGGGCAGAGCAGTGACATTTAACTCAATATCCCAGAAGGATAAGGTTTCCCCCGCCGTCCCCTCCATCTTCCGCCTCAGTCTATTGCTGAAGTGTCAGTAGCCTGTGGGTGAGGGGACTACTACAGCGTAACTCCCGCGAGTTGGGACACCCGTCACCTCGTCCTCCCCACCGTGGCGCTAACATGCCACGCCCTCGTGCCAGGCTCAGGGAACACCATGTGCCGCCTTAGCCCATCGAGGCCTCCCTCCTCCACTTGTGAACACTATACATGTTCCAAGTTCGAATCAAGTGTTAAGTACTGCGGCCGTGCAGCTGCAGCACGCTGATCTTATGCAACTAAGTCTGTCTCTGCTGACTTGCACGGCACATGCGAAGTGAGAGGGACACGGACACATTTATCCCTTAAAGACACGGGGTCGGGAAAGACTGTATAATAATGTAGAGATTCATTTGCTGGTACTGGTTACTGGTTACTACTTTGTCAGCCAAGAAGTGTAATTATAGTAGCATATTCATTTAAACTAGTAGGCCAAGGCCAAACTCATTGTCTTATCTGGGAGTGTTAACAAAAGGGAACATATTTGTTAATTTTCCCTTGGACTAGTTCACTCACTCAACCTTCCACCAAGTTTCAGGAAAAACTAACAGACAAACAAACAAACAAACAAAACTACCCGAAAAACACAACTTCTGTCCAACTGAAATACGTTGAGAAAGCATCATCTTTTCGGCACTTTCATCCATAAACTGTAGGTTTTATTCAAATCTGCAGCGTTTATGCACATGCTATAAATTATAGAATCACTGACCAACAACATGAAGTCAAATAACACGTGTTTTTTTTTTTTACAGTGAGGACATAATTAGTACTGTGCAATAAGGCGATGGATAAAGGAGCTATACTGTCAGTGTTAGCGGGGTACTTGTTACAACATTAGCTAATAGTAATAATAGAAGTGGCAGCTGAGTCTCTGAATCCAGAATTCCTCAGCAGATATAAATAGAGCAGGTGACACTGTGCTGCTCGGCAAGGCACCACGACAGCTTTGCGGCTTTTTATTTCACAATGCTGAACCTTTAGCTCAGGCTCGTAAGTCTCACTTTTAACTATTGGGGTAAAAAAATACGACTGGATGTTAGAGGGCGCATTCGACTCCACGGTGTCGTTAGGATCCATGTGGTACTACATCGGGCTTGAGAGTTGCTGGATGTTCACACCATTCCTCACACTTAGGGGTGTACTACATAAGCCCCAGGGGAGCCGATAGGAAAGTGAGCCAGTTGATCAAAAGTGGCTTTCATTCTCCTGATGGCTCATCAGTACCTTGGCCGGTTCAGCATTTTCATAATGTGGTTAATTCACTGGCAGAGACGTTTTATTGAGAAACTCAAAGCCTGGAGTATAGAACATCAAGCCTCTCGTTAGCTTCACTGGCTGAGATAAAATCATTCTTACAGCTGCCTCGAGTCGCTCAATGTACATTTCATTATGATATGAGTTTTATCCTATATAATAGTTACTAAAATCTGCTTGCAATTCATAGTTTGATGTTCTTCTATAGAGGTGATGGTAACATGTTACACATATTTTGTCACTTTGAGCATATTTTGGAGTAAGTTCTACTTGAAGCAGTTGTAATGCCCTAGACTTTTACTCTTTTTACTCAAAAACCTTTCAAGAGAATACATTTACTTCCTCTTGCTACTCAACATTTATTTATGAAATGACGTTGATGGAGTCATTACAGTTTTATCCTTGCTACATTAACCCAACTGTCCAATCTGGAGAGTATGGGACATTTAAGTTTTTTTTTTTTTTTTGAAGATACCTAATTACTGTCACTTGTATAATCATTTAAATGACATATTTTACTTCTATTGGAGTCCTTGCTTAAACGTTTTTTTTATTAAGTATCCTTTCTTCACCTCTGGGCTTACAATAAATTCACTGGTACAGTTCCATTGATTACAACAATCCTATTTTTACAAGGGAACAAATAGTACACCGTAGTACCGTTCAACATGCAAAATGTTTCAAAATAAGCAGGCTGCACAGATTTTTTAAATGCCTGTACATGAGCAACATCCTTCTGGAGTTTCACAATAGCCGTCATAAATTAAACATCCTAGTATTTCAGCCCAGCATTGCTGGATGCAATAGTATGTACAGTATTTAGTATCACCTGAAAGATGAACTCTTGGACATATACTACATCTTAAATGTCTTGTCTATTTTGAGTACTCATATCTAACCTAGACACTCTTTGGGGGTTCACTGCTCATACACTCAAAACAGTAGACCTACACAGGGACGAAACACACGTCTGAATCGTAAAACTGACCATCACAAACATTTGAAACATAATCTGAAAGAAGCGCGCAGAGAATCTAAAACCACATAACTAGTGACACATTGTGACATATTGCAGGTCTAATGTCCCAATATAAATAGGATTGTACTCCAAGAGGAAAAGGAGAAAGTGTGAAACAAGGGTTTATGTCAGAAGCACCGTTGTGGCCTAGATATTTAGGCCTCACACATCTTGTCTGTACATAGAGGTTTGGAAAGGGTAAATATTGTTCTTGCAACATGGTAGTTATAAACATTTCAAGGACGCTTAAAGAATGTGTTTTCTGGTTGACATACAGTGACCCTACTATAGCCTACTAGATAATTTATTTGCAGTTAAAGCTTCCGTTTAAAATAAATCGTATTCAAACGCCCTGTATCCTTCACCTTTCACCTCCTTTTTCCTGTAAAAGGAAGCTAAATGATAGACAGGGCGTCTTAAAGAAGGGTGTTGATGACAGCAAGACGAATGAATGCAAAGAGCCGGAGAAATGCCTAAGAAAGAAACAGGATCCTGTTTTGATATATATAGAATGAGAAAGATAAAAGGGAGAATAACTACTAGAACTGAACAACCAGAGCCAGCCCGACCCATTAAGCGACATAAGCAGCCAATAAGAGCCCCCTAGCAAAACATGATTTTTTTTTATCTCAGTACACCATCGCCGTGATAAGTATGTTTAATTAATTTTGTTAATATGCCTAGATTGCCAACTCTCAAAGTCATGTATTATATGATTGAGTCAATCATATAATACATTAACCGTGCTTTACCTGAACCTCATCATGAAACTAGAGAGGACGGCAGGAATGTAATTTCCCGTGTTCGGTGAATGCAACAGAGGCAAAGCACCAGACCAACCAGAGTTGAATGGAAATACACATATTTCTTATTGGCTGACAGGTACCTATCCTGTGAGCTGTGACAATGTTTAAAATAAAATGTCAGTCGGGCTCAGAGTTTTTGAAGATGGACATAAAAAAAACATTTCTTAAAAAAGACGACAATTCTCAAGTGGTTGCTCACACAATAACCCCAGAGCCAGCACTTGAGCCAGGAGAACAAGGTATGTAAATGTCAGTAGACTTCCAAGTTATGCGAACATGTAAGCAAAGCATAAATTACAGCTACGTTGACGTTACTTTGAATCGCGAGGGTAAGCTAAACCGTTAGCAAGTAGCTATAGCTAGCCAGATATATTAAATAAACACTTTGTCATACAATCTAAATGTTATGTTTTTTAGCGTTACCTGGTGATTTCAAAGAAAGCTCTCTGGAAAATGTTGACTTACTGTTCGACATGAAGCTAGAAGCTACCTTACAGTACACGGTTGATCCCGAGTCCAGTCAGTTAAAGTGTTTCATAGTTAGCTTAGCTAAGCATCAACCTAGCACTGAAATATATGGATGTTATGTGACAGTATTTCTGAGAAAAAGTCAGCTGAAATGGTGGCATAGCTGCCACTGCTTTACGTGTCGACAGCATGTTTGAACGTATTTGCAGCAGTAAATGTGGCTGTTTGACCACTGACGTTGCCATAACAACACCTGAATTTAAATGTGCAACCTCTTTTTGGGACAGATTTTTGCATGAAATTATAATTCTTCTGAATGATATTCCTATTGACAGCTAGTTTCTATGTGAACATTATGAGATGGACAGCCAGAGAGAATAAATGAAAAACAGTTACGAAATACTATATGACAAAACAAGAATACAGTTTAAGTGATTTGTAAAATATCCATAAAGAAAAATCTGTTNCGGCATGGGAAGGTATGGTGGGTGCGAGGGTGGGGGGGTTTGAGGTGGGGTAATGGGGGGGTGAGATGGTGGACTTGGAAAGTCTTGTCTTCAGTTCCTGTCCAAGTCCACCATCTCACCCCCCCATTACCCCACCTCAAACCCCCCCACCCTCGCACCCACCATACCTTCCCATGCCGGAATTCTGGGGGCGTGTGTCAGGGGGGTGTCCACCAATCCTGAGCCCCTTGGTGGTATAAAACCATGAAAAAGTATGCAGACATTCGCTCTTTCTGTCGGATCAGAACTCCTGAATAGGAGTGTGCCAGCTTCTAGGTGAGGGTGGTGGAACAAGGGTGAGAATTGAACGTCTAATCTGAAAGGATGGAGAACGCACACGCAAAGGTTCCGGCAGAATGCCTGTCCTACTTCGGGGTCAATGAAGAATCTGGGCTCACTCCCGACCAGTTCAAGAAGAACCTGGAAAAATATGGCTTTAATGGTGAGACTGCGGGCATTGGGGAGGGGTTGGAAGCCTTCTGAAAGTTAATATTTGGCAATTATTTCACATAGAGAAACTTCTTACTTCACACTTAAAGAAAAATGAATGTTTTTATGCATTTTTAATATTTCACAAAGTAAATTTGCTTGGATAGTTTGTGGAGATGTGAGTAAGTGGAGATACTTGTTGAGTTGGGCTGAGATTTTGCATGAGATGCCTTTTTAGAGAGGATTTGCAACAGCTGGTAGAAATGCAGGGACATTGAGAAGCAGAGACTTTGAGGGCTTTGAAGAGCTATTTAAAGATGGCCAAAGAAGATGGCTGTAGAGCGAGAGAGACAGGTGATGGCTCAAGAAGCTTCCTGGGTGATATATGGGGCAGGCGTTAACAGGAGAGATGGATAATTTTAGGCCGGGGATAAAGAGGAGGTGCCTAGATGGCTTACTTCCTAAATGATCCTTAATATGATTGCTAATCAATACCCAGTGGAATGGCAAGATAGACAGCGAATACTGTAATATGTGATTACCTCTAAAGCATTTTTGTTTCTACAGCAATGTTTCTGTAATCTTGGAACATTTTATTCAGCTGCCATTTGATGTAATGTTTATTTTTTCTTAGAATTAAGGAATTTATAAAGTTAGAGGCAGTGCAGTGAGGTTTCGTTTGGTCTAGGTCAGTCAAAGCTGATACAGTACAATGGATTTTTTTATCATACAGCGCTTATAGCATAAAGCAAGTACATTTTTGTTGTAAAAGATGGAAGTTAGAGAATGTGAGAAACCGAATATCTTAAAGGTAACATTTATCATTTTCTACAATGAAGTTTAACTTTTTCTGTCAAAGTTTTGATGAAAATGTTACTTGAATAACACCATGTTTCTTCTCTTAATATTATTCGTTTTAACTCAACATCCTTTTTTTTCTTCTCTTTCTCTTCCTTCACCTTGGTGTCCATCTCCAGAGCTGCCCGCTGAGGAGGGTAAGTGTCTATCCAGCCACATTTACAAGGTTCTTGAATCCGAACAAGAGCCTACAGACACCTAATTCAACCCAGATATGAGGACCATCATTAATGCTCTCAAAAGGGTTGTAAAAGTAATACATTCAGGCAGCAATTTGATTGTGTGATGCCTACATGCTAATGACATACAACTACCAACACATATCTGAAAACTGGATTCCCCCATACATGATATACTCTAAACTCTTCCCTTTGGACCCAAATACACTTTCACATCCAGTAATATCATTCATTCTGTGATAATTATCCCTTGACTTATATTCTCTGTATTCCCCCTTCTGTCTCGCTCAGGTAAGAGCATCTGGGAGCTGATCAGTGAGCAGTTTGAGGACTTGCTCGTCAGGATCCTGCTGCTGGCTGCCTGCATCTCTTTTGTAAGTGAACAAGTGTTAGTAGTTATTTTTTAATCAGGTCAGCAATTCTAAACTCTGGCCATTCCTGTCATGTTCCTTTTAAACACAAGTAACGGCAGTAGGATTTGTAGTCGACATGATAGTAGCAACACATTCCACCAGACACTGACACCACGTGGGATCAGACACTTTACTGTTATCTACTAAAGAACAGGTGCACACTTTTACAATTCATATTTAGAAGAATAAACTTCTGAATGTCACAATTACATTTTTGGCACAATAACCATTTTAGATAGCCATCTTAAAAACAGGTCATTAAAATCCATTTCACTTTAAAACCCATCACACTTGCTCTTACAGTAGTAAAAAAAAAGCATGCAGCAGTTGATCATTCATGTCTGGACACTCTGTCCAGATAACTCCTTATCCCCCTCCACCCCTCCATTTATTTTTGAGGATGACAACTTGAGAGGAGGGAGACAGATTGCAAGCTTGTAGGAGGTGTATTAATTCCTATACCCAGCTTTCACCCCTTCGAGCAGCTGTCATGATGGCCTTAGAAGGCGAATATTGAGGAGCCAGTGAGAGATGGGGGTCAGGGAAGTATAGGGGGGCTGAGGGGGTTTATTTTAAGAAAGCTCCAAGCTGAGGAGAGAAACTGAATCCTTCGGGAAAGGTCAAGCCTGAAACACGGAACGGAGGGCCTCCACAGAGAGAGGGTTGAAGTCAGAAGGAGTAACGGGACACTGAGAACAAATTAGGGACCATTATGTAATTATATTATGACGTACTAATATCAAAATAACAGGCATTAACACTTGGAAAGATGTGAACTGACAAGGCCTGAATGATTACGCCTTTAAATCATCACACCTTTTTTTGTTATTACAAACTACTGTGAAACATGTTAAATGCATACTCGTGTTTAATGCCCACAGAGAGCCTCCACAATCCCTTCAAATGTATCCCCTTCTTTTTCAGATTCAACACATTTTAGAGAATATTTCAAAGCTGGAAGACTATTCTAATTCAGGCCCAATCCAAATGTTTAAACACTAGTTTATGTTCATTTAAAGTACATTATATACAGATTGGGACATATTTGCGCATTGTTTCTCAGGAGCGGTTTGGCCCACTTTCACTGTTGTCTCCACTTGTGTGCTCACACCAACACTGATTTCTTCTTTATGCTCTGACCTCAGGTGCTGGCCTGGTTTGAGGAAGGTGAAGAGACCGTCACCGCCTTCGTGGAACCCTTCGTCATCCTTCTTATCCTTATCGCTAACGCCATTGTTGGAGTATGGCAGGTCAGTGACGAGGCCCGGCACATGGGCAATAAGATGATGACAGAAAGTACACTGGCTCCAGTTACTGCTGTGCCTTATACCCAGGATCAGTTGCTCAACTGGACTAGTTGCTCTCAAGTTAATGTTACAACATAGAGTAAATATTTTGTAAACAACATAAGTAGACTCTAATTTTAATTTTAGAAGATAGATATGATGTAACCAGCAGACAGGTGTTAGATGATTCACTTTATGCAAGTCATGCTCTTCGAATCAAATAGCAGAATTTAATTTGGTTACCTTTTTTGAGAAAATGACACCCATCCAAATATTTTCTCTGGGCCCAGTTGTTATTTATAACATATTTTACATAGATCCGGGCACCACTGTCCACAAAATAACTGGTATGTTTGGGGGAAAAAAATACCTAATATTTATCGTAACTTAAGATCATACATATTACGTACTCATTCGTCATCAGGATGTTGTATATCAATGTTTTGACTCAAATCCTGCTAGAGGACGTTCAAGGGTAAAAATGTGTTTTTTTTATAATTGTATACAAATGTATACTTCTTTATCAAGCTGAACCCCCTGTTTTGTTGTGACTTTTAAATGACTGTTTATTCTGTCTGTGTGTGTCCCAGGAGCGTAACGCTGAAGACGCCATCGATGCTCTCAAGGAGTACGAGCCTGAGATGGGCAAGGTTTACCGTGCTGACAGAAAGAGTGTGCAGCCGATCAAGGCCAGACAAATTGTCCCTGGTGACATCGTTGAAGTCTGTGGTAAGAAATGCCAAGATTTATCATTTTTAAAAGTACAACCTGATCTGTAAATGAACAGATCTGTGGTAAAATCCCTGTTGTGTCCAATAGTCTTCACCATTTAATTTCAATGAGACAGTTAAAGACACCACTCAGCTTCAGGGTGTTGCTTACATTTCTGTTAAGGGAAAGGAAGACGGACACAAATATTCAGGATATATGTGACTGATAGCAAAGCTGCGTGTCTTTTTAAGGAAATATGAGTAGCACTGCTGTTAAAACATGCTGACTGAAGGAAATCCTGAGTATAAATACCCCCACTAGCACCTGCCACACCTCTTCTCCCCTAGCTGCCATTGCACACTTCTGTTCATTTGTCAGTGTACACCTGTTAAACCCCCCCCCCCTCCTCCTCTCCAACATGTGTGGGTTATTCTCAATGGGCCTTTCAGTGAGTTTAGTTTAAATCTCATTATAAAATGTCATGAATTAAGCACAAAAAAGTTACTTAATTTAAAGAAACTTCAATTCTAATTTTAAATATGTGTGTCATTCGAAGGTTATGGAGGTGCAAGTGAAAATATACATATTCACTAGAGTTGCAATCATTTGATGTTAAATGTAAAAAATGATTTTATGAATCATTTATTTCAATACGTTTTACTGACGATTTCTCTGTTATTCCCAACAGTTGGTGACAAAGTCCCCGCTGACATCAGGCTTGTTTCCATCAAGTCCACCTGCCTGCGTGTTGACCAGTCCATCCTCACTGGTAAGCTTTCAAGAAACCTTAAATATGTGTTTTTTCTGTCCAAACTCTTTTGTCAGTTTTGATTAAATGTTGTGTTTTCCCCTCTCAGGTGAGTCCGTCAGTGTGATCAAGCACACTGAGGCTGTTCCCGACATGAGGGCCGTCAACCAGGACAAGAAGAACATGCTTTTCTCTGTAAGTGATTTACCAACATCCATGTATTATGTGTTTCAGTGTTTAGCCTTTATCCTTACCTATACCTGTACCTCTCTCCTCTGTAGGGCACTAACATCGCTTCTGGCAAGGCCATCGGTATTGCTGTCGCCACCGGAGTCTCCACTGAGATCGGTAAGATCCGTGACCAGATGGCTGCCACTGAGCAGGAGAAGACTCCCCTGCAGGCCAAGCTGGACGAGTTCGGCGAGCAGCTGTCCAAGGTCATCTCCCTGATCTGCGTTGCTGTATGGGCTATCAACATCGGCCACTTCAACGACCCCGTCCACGGTGGCTCATGGATCCGTGGAGCTGTCTACTACTTCAAGATCGCTGTGGCTCTGGCCGTGGCTGCCATCCCTGAGGGTAAGGGGAGCATGCCAATAACAGCAGAAAGTGACAGACAGACAGTAGTGTAAAGTAGATTTACTCAAGTACTATACTTAGGATCAATTTTGAGGTACTTGTACTTTACTTCAGTATTTCATTTTTGTTCTACCCTATTAGAATTCAGAGGTAAATAATGTACTTTAAGCTCCACTACATCACCACTTATGACTTTAGTAACATTCATTGTAAGCTACATTACAATATACACAGTTATTCAAACTAGCTGTAACTTTACCAGCTTTGATGACACTTTTAGGTTATTATCAAAAACATATACAATATATTATTCTGAAATGGGCCAATCTGCATAATGACTACTTTTGGTACTTGAAGTATATTTTACTTTTTCTACTTTTACTTGAGCAACATTTTAATTTCAGGACTTTTACTTGTAACAGAGTATTCCTACACTCTGGTACTTCTACTTTTACTCAAGCACAAGATCTGAGTACCTTCCCCACCTCTGCAGACAGAGTGTTTGTGTTCCTCCACTGATTCACATTTCCCCTGATGTGTCTCTCAGGTCTGCCCGCTGTCATCACCACCTGCCTGGCTCTCGGTACCCGCCGTATGGCCAAGAAGAACGCCATCGTCAGAAGCCTGCCCTCTGTGGAGACTCTTGGCTGCACCTCCGTCATCTGCTCAGACAAAACCGGCACCCTCACCACCAACCAGATGTGTGTGACCAAGGTGGGTGACACACTGTTCACACTCAGAAAGGTGATTTTGTTGGTGACAGTTTGGCCTACAATTAAGATTGTGTCCTCCGCCCACAGATGTTCATCATCAAGAACGCTGATGGCAACCATGTTGAACTTGATGCTTTCGATATCTCTGGCTCCAAGTACACCCCCGAGGGCGAGGTGTAAGTTGTTTTTCCTTGTTCAAACCCAGTATCAGGCACACATAAAAGTGCACTTGAGCCGCCTCTCACTTATTTCTAATTGTTTCTCTTTTGTTCAGTTCCCAGGGTGGTGCAAAGACCAACTGCAGCACACACGACGGCCTTGTTGAGATCGCAACCATCTGCGCCCTGTGCAACGACTCCACTCTGGACTACAACGAGGTAAAGTCATAAGGTCATGCAGGGTGCTTAAGATAAGATAAGACCTTTATGGATCCCCGCAGGGAAATTAAGGCTCACCCAAGGGAATACACACAAGGATAATAATTATTTTTAAAAATAAGGAAAATGTCAGAAATCCTGTGACTTTCCACAGATAATTAATCTGCATCCCCCCTTTATTTCTCCAGACCAAGAAGATCTATGAGAAGGTTGGTGAGGCTACTGAGACCGCCCTGTCCTGCCTGGTGGAGAAGATGAACGTCTTCAACAGCAACGTGAAGAACCTGTCCAAAATTGAGAGAGCCACCGCCTGTTGCTCAGTAAGTTTCCTCGCTCCATTTGCTACATGTTGTTGAACATTCACATTTATGAGCAGTAGCTGGATGTGACAAGGTTGATCCAACCATCGCAAATCTATTACTTTGTACCAATCAGCCTTTCTAATAAAAAAACTTTTATCCAACAGGTTGTCAAGCAGCTCATGAGGAAGGACGTCACTCTTGAGTTCTCCCGTGACAGGAAGTCCATGTCCGTGTACTGCACTCCCACTAAGGGTGATGGTGGAGCCAAGATGTTCGTGAAGGCAAGTTGCTCGTCTCTTTCACAGCCTTTGATCACACAGCTGCACTTTGGTGGTGAAGCATTCAAGTCAACATGAGATAATCGTGCTGTTTTCTACCACAGGGCGCCCCAGAAGGTGTGATTGAAAGGTGCGCATACGTGCGTGTTGGAGCTACCCGCGTGCCCCTGACCGCCGCCATCAAGGACAAGATGCTGAGTGTGATCAAGGAGTGGGGAACCGGGCGTGACACCCTGCGTTGCCTGGCCCTCGCCACCCGTGACTCCCCCCTGAAGATGGACGAGATGAACCTTGAGGACGCCACCAAGTTCGCCGATTACGAGGTGAGAGCCCAACGCCTCCATAACGAGATGTGTGGATGTAACCTTGACTACATGTGAACACTTTGACTGAACTCACGCTTTTCTCCTCAGGTTGATCTGACCTTTGTTGGTGTTGTGGGTATGCTGGATCCCCCCCGTAAGGAGGTCTGCGGCTCCATCGAGCTCTGCAGAGCTGCTGGAATCCGTGTCATTATGATCACTGGTTAGTATTATGGGCTGGAAGGATTATCAATTCAGAAATGTGCCGTCATTTTAGATTAGACTAGATTTGATAGATCTTCGTTGTCATTGCACAGAGAACAAGTGCTAATATAACGAAATGCACTTAGCATCTAACCAGATGCCATAAAACAAGTTGAGTTCAGTTTATTTTGTAACATAAGTGTATACATGGAAGATATAAACCAACTTAAGTATTGACAGTACATTCAAACTAAAACTAAGATATAAATAACCAATGAAAAATAGTGTTAGTAAACTTGAACTAACTTAAAACATGATATACATATTATGTAGGAAAAGAGAAGGACCACAACAATGATATTGTGTGCTACAAAAACAAGGCAAAAATAAATACAAATTCATTTCAATTTAAATATGTCACTAGAATTGAAAATAGGAGACAGCATGAATTTTGGTTAAACATACTAGACATTCCAGTAGATGGTGCCATTGCAACACACTTTTACAACTATGTATTTTCTATGTAAATGCAGCTACATACTATTGAGATATAGCCGACTATATAAAATATTATCACTAATTATATAAAAACAACTAAATTCAAGCACATTATAACCTTGTGTTCTCTTGTAGAACAATGATTAATGAATTATATATTTTATATAAGATTTTTTTTGCCATTTTTGAGTAAGGAAAATGTATAATCTAAATTAAACCAAAGTGTAAAGTTTAATATAAAGTTGTTATTGTGGGTTTTGAATTTGATCAAAAATACACTGTAACCCTAATCCTAGAAACATTAATTTCACTTCACTAAACCTCTCCTCCTCCATATTCCAGGTGACAACAAGGGAACCGCCATCGCTATCTGCCGTCGTATTGGCATCTTCAGCGAGGATGAGGATGTTGAAGGAAAGGCCTACACCGGACGTGAGTTTGACGATCTGCCCCTGGAGCAACAGACCATGGCCGTGAAGAGAGCTTCCTGCTTCGCCCGTGTGGAGCCATCCCACAAGTCCAAGATTGTTGAGTTCCTTCAAGGATTCGATGATATTACTGCCATGGTAAGAGCACAGTGTGTTGGTGGCTTTGCGTCAGGTTATTTGTCCGTACATGTGTTTTGTTTGAGAGTAGTTGAACTCATGCGTCCTTTCCTCCCTCCATAGACCGGTGATGGTGTGAATGATGCCCCTGCCCTGAAGAAGGCCGAGATCGGCATCGCCATGGGCTCTGGCACTGCCGTTGCCAAGTCTGCCTCTGAGATGGTCCTGGCTGACGATAACTTCTCTTCCATTGTGGCTGCTGTTGAGGAAGGCAGAGCCATCTACAACAACATGAAGCAGTTCATCCGCTACCTCATCTCTTCCAACGTTGGTGAGGTCGTCTGGTGAGTGGCTGAAGCTCTGATTCACACACTTCAGCCTTCTCTCTCTGTCTCCATTTGTCTGATTATTATCCTTTTCTTCATTCAGTATCTTCCTGACCGCCGCCCTGGGTCTGCCCGAGGCTCTTATCCCCGTCCAGCTTCTGTGGGTCAACCTGGTCACTGACGGTCTGCCCGCCACCGCCCTGGGCTTCAACCCCCCAGATCTTGACATCATGGGCAGGCCCCCACGTTCCGCCAAGGAGCCCCTGATCTCCGGATGGTTGTTCTTCAGATATATGGTTATTGGTGGTAAGTAGGACTTTGGACGCCATGTTTGTACTCGGTTTGAAAAAACCCCGCCTACACTGACTCCGTCATGTCTCCCTCACAGGATACGTCGGAATGGCAACTGTTGGAGGTGCTGCCTACTGGTTCATCTATGACCCAGAGGGACCCGGTGTCTCCTACTACCAGCTGGTAATTTACCATTCTTTAATTATTTTAAAACATATTTCTTATTTAATCAACCTACATAACGAGCATACAACTTGAAAAAAACACACATATACAATTTCAATATACAATTTAACTTCTAATATTTTCATCTCATCATTTTTATAAAATATGTCTTGATTGTCGTCATAAACAGCTTTGATAATACAATAAAAAAATTAAGTAAAAAAGGAGAAAAGGATGACTCGACATTTGGCAAGGCTTGTAATAATGGTGGTGTATATTTTAAAACACTAAAAGGACGTTTTCTTTAACCCTGTCTCTCCATTACGTTAACCTATGGGTCAGACTTATCCTTCTTGGCTTTTAAAAGCATAATATTCACTATGGAAATTAACTTTCTCTTCATCAAATCATTTAGAAGTAATCCAGTATGAAAAGGGCTGTATCTTAAGAAGAAGTTATCTTTCAAACACACTTACAAGCAGTCACTAAATAACCCCCCTCTCCTCTGTACAGTCCCACTTCATGCAGTGCTGCCCTGAGAACGAGGACTTCAACGGAGTCGAGTGCTCGATCTTTGAGCATTGCGCTCCCATGACCATGGCCCTGTCTGTGCTGGTCACCATTGAGATGTCCAACGCTCTCAACAGGTAATGTTGAGTCACAAGAGATGATGACTCGTGTGGTTTTTCTCCAGGTAAACACAGACATTTATTAACTTTTTCTTTGTTCTTTTTTCAAGCTTGTCTGAGAACCAGTCTCTGCTGCGCATGCCCCCATGGGTTAACATCTGGCTGCTGATGGCCATGGCCCTCTCCATGTCCCTTCACTTCGTGATCATCTATGTTGACCCCATGCCCGTAAGTCAGCCGTCTTATATTGAAACATCGCCCTCTGTGACGTGTGCCTTTTGTCGTAGTTGCTCTCCGCTGTCGTCTCCCATCAGTTCTGACTCCTCCCCACTCCTTTTCCCCCCAGATGGTCTTCCATCTGACCCATCTGAACGTCGACCAGTGGTTGGTGGTCCTGAAGCTTTCCTTCCCCGTCATCCTTATTGATGAGGTGCTGAAGTTCGTGGCCCGCAACTACATTGATTGTAAGTAGTCTCTTTTTTTCTCACTCTAACATATTTTAACTTATACCTAAAATAACAGTTCTGTTTTATTTTAAAAAAAAACATAATTTTAATATATTAATACTATCATCTTTTTTAATTTATTTTCATTAATATTTTAACTTAATTCTTCTTCATCCCATACTATCCTCTCTTTTATCACTTCATCATGTTTGATAATGTCTGTTTTCATCTGCCTAATTCCACCCTTCCCTCATCATTAACTCAGACTCACCCGCCCCCCGCGTGTAACTACATCAAGGTATTCCACAACTCAAGTAATCTGTAGTTTGTGTGCATGTTGGTGTGTCGTCTGTTTTGTCCCGTATGTTATTATGCCATCCGTCCTTAGCAGTGTCTACTTTATATATTATCACACTCCTGTTGATGGGGTTCTCTGGCTTCTCCCTTCTACTAAATGCATTCAACATCTGTCCCAAATTGACAAGGTGACATAATGACTAATGAATGTGGAGATCCTCAGAAGTCGTTCATCACCTCTGAGTTGCTGTTGTCTGTTGGTCGTTTCTGTCTGTAGGCAGGAATGTGACCAATGCCTGTTTTGGTACCACTTTTGTAAAAACGCTTGATATTGTTGGTGTCCCATAAAAAGCATAGCATATATAAACATAGAATAAATCATTTAGGATGCATCTACTTTGTTGTATTCATCAATAAGGGCTGGATAATAACCAGATAATGCATGACAGCAATTACATTAATAAACACTGTTTTATTATGCTTAAATTGCAATGCACCTAACCTAATTATAAAAATACTTTAAAATGGGATTACCATGCTGTTTGTGCAAAATCACTACTCCAGTTTAGTTTGCTGCTTTCATTAGATTTGTATCTGAGTGAGACGTTGTACGGGTTATTTTATAGGTAGCATCATGTTTTCTTAGTGATGTCTTGTTTGTCTGCAAATATAGCTTGTTTTATTTGATTTGTCAAAAGTGTCCTTGTCAGTATCGATTGTCAACCAAATCATGTTTCCCATAATCATGTCCTTCTCTAAAATATCCTATTTCTCTTCAACAGGTACAGAAAATAAAAAATAGAGATGTAGAAGAAGAGGATCTTTAGGGTTGGAGAGAAAGAATTGGAGAGGAAAAGAGGAAGATCAAAACCAAAGAGGGCCAACCAATAGAAGAGAGGAGAAAACACAGGACAACTTGTGAAAGAAAACAACAAAACTTGTCAAGAAAATCTACATAAACATAGCCTCTATATAAGCAAGAAGATTTGATTAAAATGGCGGGAACTGTCCCTGTCGATAAAGTATTCAAATATTTAAGATTTTATTCTCAGAAATTAAAGTATGTATTAAAAGTGATTTTTTTGTTAAACTTGGATATTCTCAGCTGTTGTGTTTTTGTGTCCTCTGTCCATTTTCATATGATTGACTTTCCAGCTCATTACTTTTATTCTAGTCTTTGTTGCTCGTGTCTCGTGCAGCCTCCCTTCTCTGGCTGGGCTTTGTACAGTGTGGTGTAGGGTTGCAAAAGGACTTCATATGGGCAGAAAAAGCACATGCCTCCAGCTGCAAGTGCTCTCTACGGGCTCTATGCAAACAGACTGTTGGAGGTGTCATGTCATAAAATGGGCATGTCCACTCAGTCACAACACTTTTGGTCTTATATATTGTTTACGTGATAAGCTGCAATAAAGTGATGATTAAAAACTCACGTCCTTGTATCACGGAGCGCATTTTTATTTATTCTTTAAACATACTTTTGAATGGTTTTCCTCTTAATCTAAACACTAGCAATTAACACCTGAGCTGAAACTTATTTATTTTTACTCTGCTGGTTTGGTTTTGAGCTCCTGTCAAATTTTCTGACAGTATTTCTGTCTTCCCTGAATCAGTACGTCATTCTTTGGTTTATAAGGCGGCATTAGTTTGGTATAAAACCCAACATCCTTTAGATGAGGGTCCTAAATGGTATATTGACGTCCTTCATCTTCTTGTCATAATCTTCGGCAAACATCTTTGATTGCTCGGGTGTGAAATGGTTTCTCCAATCCCCCACTTGACCTGAAAACGCAGAAGAGAAAACAAAAGTGTTAGATATGAAGATCAATATTCAGTTTGTGGAAATAAGCAATAATCTATGGTACAAGTTCTTAAATGATTCCCCCAAATGGCGTTTATTGTTGAACAGAAGTGCTGCAACTTTCCTTATCGACTATGTTAATTGATGTTTAGTGTAACAAATATTAGAAAACAGAGGAAATGTCCCACACTAACAATCCCCAAAGACAAAACTTTAAAAATTACTATAATACAAGAAAAAATAATAACTAAAATACTCTCATTTTAATATCCAGTCTAAAGATAATAAATCCAGCTTTGTTCACCAGTGGTCATTGTTTATTAAATTAAAAAGCGAATAATGCTCTAGGGGGTGCTGCTGTGTTGTACACAGTTAAGGAAAGTACAGGGAGAACAGAATATTACACAACATATTAAAAGGGTAGTGTTTTCTTTTTAAATAATATTGGCAGCTTAAACAATTTTATTATTATAAGATATTCGTGGTATTTTGTCAGCCCTTCTCGCTGTGTGTTAACAGACGTGAGAAGAGGTGTAAATGATATATTATTCCCTCAATGCAGATCACTCTTTCACTTTTGAAACCTGGGGCTTCAAAGGTGTTACATGTTCAGACTTGCTCATACCTTTATTATTATTATTATTATTATTATGACCAATATATGGTTTTGGATTGACTGAGGCACCTTTTCTCATGAAGGGGGAGACGGAGTTATCAAAAACATGCGTTGGGATGCAGGAGTAGTTGGCCATGGGGTTCTCCTTCATTATCTCAAAAGAAGTGAGCTCCACAATCCGGCTGATGACCTCATCCGAGAGCGACAGGTCCAGGTACTTCATGATGTGCTCCACCTCGCGCCGAGGATTCTGGGAGAACAAACGTGATGGTAAGAGTTTGTACATCATGCTTTGTATTACAGAGTCCATTGGGTTCTCTGTACCTCTTTCATGTCCTCATAGAAGAGGTACAGGATGTTCCTCTTCTCTCTCTCCTTCCAGTAACCTTTCACATGGTCGTACCACGAGCCCCACGCCACTGCAGAGACAAAATGCATCAATCATTGTTCATGGTAACAGGCCAGTAAAAGTTAAGTTGTTTTTTTATGTACTTATTTGCATATCTATCATAAGTCATTGACTTTTGGGTTGCCAGGTTGTTCTATTAAATGCGGCGAAGCCTGCGAACTAGTTCAGGCAGTCAACTCGAGCACTTATGCTGCATTCATACATAACGCCCCTTGCCACTCTACAACCAACCAAACAGAGTTCTCCTAATACGCCGCTCTATTTAACCTCCCAGATCTCTCTCTATGCATTGCTTGCTGCTGCTTTGCTGCAGTTACTCTATGTCGCTGCTGCTTGCCTGCCCCACCACCACCCCAGCTTCCACCTGTAGGCTCTGGGGGTTAGTTATTTAATCATCACTCATCGTGCTATGTATATCTGTAGAGTGATGAGACCCGAGCCTAGACGCCAAACTCAACTATATGCTGCTTCTAATAAACATGTTAAAGAAACATGTGAGTTGTCTGAATGAAATAATGGTTAGGGTTAGCTAAGATCACACATAGAAATCACATGATCCGTCCCCCTGCGCTCCAGCAGTAACAAACAAGCAGCTCTGCAGTCAACATGCTTCCTGAAGATGGAAATATGAAGCAGGCTGACACTCCGTGGCAACCTGACAGAAGACAGCAGAGGAATTTACTCCGGCTGTCTGCCACGTCTCAGCAGCTTTTATGGGTGGTTCAACAATTGAGCCGCTCCATAGTACAAACAGATCACTACAGCAGCCTCAATTCAGAGAGCAGTCACTAACCCCCCCCCCTCATCTGCATCTCTGCTGCAGAAATACTTTTTCGATTCAGGACTGAGAGAGAGTTTGTAGAACTAAAGCCAGGAAGTATTCAAGCCATGTGTCCTCAAGTTGGATTAAAATGCTTCTATCCAATGGGCGGTTCTATACCAATGTGATTGGGGGCGCCGTGCTGGGGCCAGTTATTGAATGAGAATGGCACATTTAATGCTGGACCAAGGAGACGAAGACAGATTTAAACTTTTTTTGTTTGGTATATAGCGCAGAAAAAAACATAAAATACCATCATTGGTTTTTATTTTATAAACAGATTTTGTGTCAATGACTTTGTTACATTTGTTTCTTAGTTACTATACTTTATCATTAGCCTAAATGCAGTTTGGGGTAAATAAATACATTATTCATGTAGACAAACGTTGTTGTTTTGTAATTTCTTAATATTTGTGGGTATTTTTTTTAGTAACATAATATTTTTTCACTAACTTAGTTTCAATATATTAAACTACATTACTGAAAAAAGGTCCTGTTATCTTAGGCTCAGGTTACAGCACAGTACTGCAGAGGCTGCTATTTTTATGTTTGCTCTCTTCCTATTACTGTCCTAGTATTAACATTTCAATTCCTGGATATGCTTATTTCTAAATTCATATGACAGAATAAAAGAACCAGGGTGAGACCGAAAGTCCTTCAAGCACTCAAAGCTCTGCCTCTTCTTAGAAGCTACTACTGGCCAGCACAACTTTGAATATTGGTCTCATGGATTAGGCTTGATATGGAAACAAAATGGGTACTAATAGAATAAATTAGTTCTGTAACCAATACCATAGTTACGGATGAGGAGTGGGATAGTTCCTGGGTGACTTGGCATAAATAGTCAAAATTGGAGGGAATTTGCGTGGATGTTGAGAATGAGATACTTCAAAACTCCCTTTGTAATATATAAATATGACAAGTCTAGCCCACTCTTTTGGAGAGGATGTGGATTAATCAGAGACTTCTCAAACATATTTTGGGATCGCCCTAAACTACAACTATTTTGGAATAGGGTAATGAGGGAAATTGAAGAGCTCTTGGAGTTAAACGTATTATGAACCACAAAAGGTTGATTTTTGGGAATGTACCTTTAGGGGGACTGGGAAAAGACACAATGTATATGCTCAGAGTGCTGGTATTAATATCCCATAAAATGATAACTAAAAATTCTCTTAAACCTCAACCCCCTAACCTTGGACCAATGGACACAAAAAAGGTTTCTCAATACTCTAATTTCCTCTCCTCGACTCCTATCCTCGAGACTTAGTGCCGCCCACAGGAGATGCGAACGGAGGACTGAGGAGGGGAACCACAGAGGAGAGAGGAGGGGAACCACAGAGGAGAGAGGAGGGGAAGCAGCAGGCGGTTAGAGAAATGAGAAATCCTCTCCTCTGAGCGGTCATTTTAAAGAGACGTCCATTAATGATGACAGGAGGCACAGCAGCCCTCTGTCTGATGGACAGATGTGTTCATGATGACTTATATATTTACTTTGATTCATTGACAGTGCGATTATAATGAGACAATAACAGGCTACAGATGCGGACATATACACACACATATTTATATAAATATATACAATTTCAGAATCAAACAAGTATGAGAGCACGGACCTCACAGCTGTTCTCACTGTAAACATTGCGTCGCGATGAAAGCAGTTTCTAAAATAATATCCAGGGGATGCATGCAGAGCTGTCATTGGCTGAGATAAGTCTGGCCGTGCGTCATGCCTCCACCGTTCCCGGAAATGCATCCGCGGAGGAGCCGTGGAGGCCCCATCAGTGTCTCCTCGGTTAGAGCTCCTCCAGAGAGCCTCCTCGATGCTCGGTCCTCGATGTGCATTTAGAGAAATGAGATGTCCTTCAACATGGCGCGCTGAAATCCATTTCCGGGTCACAACTGGAGGACCGAGGTG